CTGCACAAAACCCACATGTGGTTTCACAAAATTGTGTCAAATCCCTTATACTTTCAAAATTACGTCAGACTCCTTCATGGTTCACAAACTCTGCATTTAACCCCATTGACTGTCCTTATTTAACAGTGTTTGACATGTATGCGCCCAAATTGCGAATGAGTTTCAAAATCTCTATTTCTAAACTCTTAAAATTACAAATATATTCATTTTCTTATATTTAGAACCAGAGGAAGCAACTATTTATGTATATATATACTGTTCCTTGAGGCTTAATATAAATGGAGATTTAAAAATGGAAATTTTGAAACTCATTCGTAGTTTGGGCTCGTGTAGATCAAATATCATTAAATAAGATCGTCCAAGGAGGTTAGACGCGAAGTTTGTGAAACCATGAAGGAGTTGGACGCATTTTTTAAAGTATAGGGATATGGCACAATTTCGTAAAACCACATGTGGATTTTGTACAATTATGCCTTCAAATTTTGATATAATTTATTATTATATTAACACTAAGAAAAGAAATAGACTATAGCACCAAAGGCTAAACGATTTGGCATGTGTTCAATATAATCAGAAGATTGCACATTGCTTTACAAAACGGCCGGAAGAGGAAAGCAATTTTAATCCCTTAATTCTTGAAGAATTTCAATGGGACAACGAATGGATTGATGATTCTTGAGACTTGATTCATGAAGACGGAGATCTTTTGTGGCATCATGTAAATGAAACCATATGTGTTCCAAGTGAATCCTCAGGTCTTGCCCATTGTGTATGGTCGTCGTTGTGGCCCTTCTAACAAATGTTTAGTAGATGAGAATGAATATGATGATATGCACGCTGAAGATTGACGTGAAATTTGAGAAACTAATGGTTTTTTTTTTACATTAATGGGGTGTTAGGTACATAAAATGAAATTAGAGAGAAATGAGAGTAGAGAATCGAATTGTTAACAAAAGAATTGAGTATGGAATCGAATTGTTAACAAAAGAATTGAGTAGAGAATGGACTTACATAGAAAAACAATTGAGTAAGAATGAGAATTAATTCTCTTATTTGGTAAAATAGAGAATTCAATTGAAAAATGTAAAAAAAATGCCGTCATCTGAATGGATCGAACAAGAATAAATGATTAATCGGAGAAAATAGAGTTTTAACGAGTGAGAATTTATGAAGAAATATTTTTGGTGACAATTATAAATTATATCTGATGTTTTGTAAGATCATATTTTTTAGTACAATTTTTTCAAAAATCGTAAAAGATTAAATACTTAAATACTAAATTAAATGTGATTTTTGTAAAATTGAAATAATATAATTTTTAAAAATTATAAAAATTAAATAGTACAAAAAGATAAAAAAATATATATGAAAACATTCCATTTTCTCCATTTCTTTGAATACGGGAGAGAAATGAAAACAAAACAAAAAATTTTTATTTCTATGCTGTCAATTCTCTATACCAAACACACCCTAATTATTTTGATGGTGTTTTGAAACTTTGATATTTTGGCATATTGGTATTTTAATATTTTGATGGTTATGTTTAATATTTTGGTATTTTAATATTTTATTTGAAATTTAATTAAATTTAGTGATTTGATATTATAATTTTATATTGTAATTAAATATTAGGAATTTATAATCGGCAGGTCGTCGTATCACCATATTGTTGCCATGTCGGTCACCGTTTCGCCTAGGTGGCAGTCCGATGGCACCGTGCCTAAAACCTCGCTGTAACAACCTTGTTGTCGACTGTCCCGGCTTTTAAGGCTTGCCATCGTCTTTTTCTCCTGCGGCTCTTATCCTGCTGGATCCTGCACCGTTAGGCCAAGGTACTCCTCCCGTAATCTTCATCCAATTTACAATTTTCTAAGTTTTCATCGTTTGTCTTCTACATACTATATATTTGTATCGAGATTATCCTATCTCACTTCCTAAATCCCTTCGTGAAGCTCTTTCTCATCAATGGTAGATAAAATGGCTTCTTTGGATTCTAATGGTACTTGGGACTTTACCTTTGCCTTTGGGTAAGTCCTCTGTGTAAGGATGAGAAAAAATATCGAAATATCGCACATACCGTACCGAAAAAATACCAAAATTACCGAAATTTACGGTATACCAAAATTTTGGTACGGTAACGGTTTGTAAATTGAAATTTTTAGTATATACTGAAAATACCGTATATCATTTTGATATTTTGGTATTTGTTATATCAGTATATACCGAATTATCAGTACGGTACGGTATGTATATCTAACATACCGAATTTTTGATATAACGATTTTTCGATATATCAAATTTTTGGTATGATATCGTTATAAAAAATACCATATCAAAAATTTTGGTACGATATACAGTATACGGTATGATTTTCAGTATACTATACCGATGTACCCCTAGCCCTAGGTCTTGTTGTTGGGTCTATGCAATTAATGTTGGTCCGTATGGTCAAGTTGCTCGTCGCAAGGCCCGTTTAGTAGCTAAAAGATTCACAGGTCTTTGGTGAGGATTATACTGAAACCTTCTCGCCTATTACCGATATGTCTTTGATCTGTCTCTTTATTGCTTTGGATGCTATGCACTCATGGCCTCTTTATTTGCTTGATAGTAAGAATGTCTTCTTTCATGGCAAACTTCAAGAGGAAATATGGAGCAATAATGTCTTCTTTCATGGCAAACTTCAAGAGGAAATATGGAGCAATCAGCTAGATTTATTTCTTAGGGAAATCTGATTTTGTTTGCAAACTACGCCGTTTGTTATATGAATTGAAACAATCTCCACGTGCTTAGTTCAATTGATTCAGTAGTGTTATACAAGACTTTGGCTTTTATAAGCACACATCAAGTGGTAAGTGGTTAGACCTTCTTGTGTATATTGATGATATTGTTCTCACCAGAGATGATCAAAGAGGTCACTCAGTTAAAGTAACACTTATTTAAGCATTTTCAAACTAAAAGATATGGGACCATTAAAGCACTTTCTTAGTATTAAGATTGCTCAATCACGTGATGGTTTTGTTTTTTCACAACGGAAGTATGCATTGGATATTCTTGAAGAAACTGGTTTGTCTTACTACTGCATGTCAATAGACTCTCCCATGGATCCAAATTTGAAGCTTCTTCCACTACAAGGGGTGCCATTAGCAGAACGATATCGTAGAATGGTTGGTAAGCTTAACAATCTCACACTTGCTCAACCTAATATTTTTTTTGCTATGAGTGTCGTGAGTTAAGTTCTTCTGTCTTCATGCATGCTGCCATTCGAATCTTGAAGTACATCAAAAGATCCCCTGGTAAAGGAGTATTTTACACTAATTAAGGTCACACCGAAGTATTTCTTAGGTAGATAAACCTGCTGTAAAATGAAAATGGCGAGGAGATTGCATAAACCTGGTAACTTTTGTGGAGAGCATACGAGATATCGGGCCTAATAATTGTTAGGTAGATAAGACTACCAACAAGTTGTCCTTATAAGAATGGATCATGCAAAAGCTCTCCATCATCTTTCCGGAATTTCACATTCACCTTCATTGGCGTATCAATAGCAGTAGCACCTTTAATTCAGCTAGCATAATGAGATCTTTGATGTATTTATGTTGATTCAGAAACAAACCATGATCTTGATGAACTTCCAGCTCTAAAAAACTATGTAAGACAACATGATCCTTCACTTAAATTTCCCATGCAGCATATGTTGAAGCTTAGTGATCAACTTATCATCACTGGTAATATCGTCAACATTGACTAAGTTGTGAAAGAATAATGATGAATCATATGCACTATGCGAGAATGAACATTGGAGAAGAGTGTGGAGAAACTTTTCAAACTAAGCTCTTGGCGTCTACTTCAATCCATACAAAGAATGTCTTAACCTACAAACCTCATGAGATGATGCTATAGTAAGAATTGTTCTAATTGTAGTCATTTTAGCAAGGGGGCAAATGTTTCTTCGTAGTCAATACTACCAATGGGACGAACATCAAGTGGACACGAAACAATGTCCCAAGTATGATTTTCTGCAAGTGCATGAAGTTCCACATCCATGGCTTGTTTCCAACACTCATGTTCCATAGTTTGTTTATAAGAAATGGGAATAGAAATAGAAGACAAACTCTTACATATGATGCCAAGACTTTGAAGGAAAAGTTGAAATTCATTTGGCATATATTGCCTACCAAATAGGGGACGGTGGGACTCGAACTCGAAATCTACGATTCTGATACTATGTTAGATGATGTAAATGACCGTCTAACCTAAAAGTTTAAGTTGTTAGGGATGGACATCATTTATTTATTTATCTACAAATGAGAGTCAACCAACAAGTTTAATTAGAGGCTGAAAATCAGCTTGTAATAGCTATATATTGTGTAACTATTAGGTGGTGAATAAATTCTTTCCCAATCGTTCATAAATCACCCTCAAAGTTTGTCATGGTATCAGAGCCAACTCTGATCTAGATACTTGTTAACCTTTTCTTGTTTTTTATTCTCTTGTCCAATTCTGTGAAATCATGTCTTCAAAAAAGTACGATAGTCCTATTGAAAGTACACAAAACCCAAATCAAAATAAACCCTACCTAATAATTACCCACTCAACCCGCCCACCTTAATCTAATTTTGAAGTATCATGTACGGTGATCATAATCAAATGGCTTTGATACTATGCGAATATGATTATTAGTATTCCACAAGGTGATCTTTCATCGTATATAGGAGAAATAATCCTATCCTAATGTAACTCCATCTCCTACCCTAATCTAACTTTATAGACTTCCAAAGAAAAAACTCCACCTATGCCGATGTTTATCTATGTAGTCAACACATACAACGCACCATGAAAAGGGTTAACCTTTAAGTACTAGCAGAGGGCGACAAGGACTTATCTCAGGCTCTGGTCATTTACCATACATACTATATGAACAGTATCTAGACATGGGATCCTACCTGGAAGGATAACATATATGCCTTCATGACATAGATAATCCCCATAAAATTAATCACCTGGCTCTTTGGCAATGAAACTCAAAACTCGGTTGATGAAATTTCCCAGATTGCTCAGAAGCTCGCTATTCAATTTTGCTTGCAAATCAGACCAAGTGAACAGGGTATCTGATGCCTAAAATGCCAGCACAACAATTATCAATATTTAAGTAAGCAACCAATCCCTTTTTACTTCAGATGGAAGGATAATAGGAAGCAGATAATCCTAAAGAGTATAGGCAGAAAAGTCAGAAAAAGCATACTTCTGGCCTATTGGTCAGCAAATAATATCTCCATACTTCCACGGGTATATTTGTGTCTTTTGCATCATTTCCAAATACTCCTATACCCTTGCTCTTTGAAAATTTCCCTACAAAAACAAAATCAATAAAAGACTAGTAAATCAATCCAGAAGTTACAAGAAAATAGGCATCTGACAATGCAGCAGCAACCAAGCATGTGTCGGCTAGCAAATCTAACCTGTTTCATAGTTCAAATATTCTGTAACACTGATGGTTCTCATCAAAGTCCATTTTTCACCTGTCCCAAGAAGAGTGGAGGGGAACATTACCTGAAAAAATCAGCTATTTCTCACCAGTTAAACAAAGAAATTACACCTGATATAAAAGGCGGCGGTTACAGTGCTGAATCTTAAAATTCAGTACCGTGCTGACAACACACTGCATTTATATAATACAAATACAACACATGAACTAACAGCACTAACTAACAGTATATGCTATAGTTTTATACAGCACAATTAATACTTGATTTCAGCACACCAGATACTGTTATACAGCATACTTGTAATTATGAACCAAACAACACAAATACAACACATGAACTGACAACACATGTTATAGTCTTATACAACACAAATACTAATTCATTTCAGTACACCACATACTATTATACAACACATTATAATTATGAAGCAACATCATGTGTCATTATTATACACATGTGTTGTGTATAATAAGACTGTGTGTTGTTTGTATAATGTGCTGATTTTTTCAATTCAACACCCTAACTGTTTCCGATACAAAAATAGTCAATACCATAAATAAAACTGTAATAAAAAAAGGCATACTATTTACTCATGTTACTTACATCTTACCATTTAGCCTCAAGTGGATCAGATTACATGAGACCCTATGGAGTTATTGAACTTCTCTCAGGTTAAAATCTACAATGGTCTTTCACACCAATACTTCTAACACTTAGCTGCATCTGTTCATTCATCCCAAAATAAGGAAAACTGGATTGTGAATCCGTTTAATGTGTTTCCTTGAACTATACTTCCACATCCAGCTTCGAAGTGTTATAAATCCTCATGACATTCTAGATATATATCTATCTATGTGTATATATATATATATATCTACATCTGAAAATTTTTCATTTCATTTATTTATTATTTTATTTTTTTCTGATTACAAGGTAACACTCACACCTGTGGGATTGAACCTCAACATCCTAGGATAGGAGGTGAACTCTTAGACAAATAGGCTATGCTAGGGGTGCCAAGATCTAAGTACATGAGATAACTTTGTTGAAAATATAAATTATCTTTTCGAAGGAAGAAAAGAAAAAAACAAACAAACAAGGGGTTTGTTCACTTGTGTCTTGTTTTGCTTTTACTGTTTGTGTTTTGGGTTTCATTGCTTTTTTGGGTGAAAATGAGAGTTGAATGTAATGATTTCTTAAGGAAAATGAGATGTTGAATAGTAAAATATCGGTAAAAAAACACAAGTGCACAAACCCTAAGATATATAAATAAAAGTAGTGTTAAACCAAAAAATAAAAATAAAATGAGCAAGATTGGAGAACATGTTGGAGGCAAAAGCCAGAGAATTAGACCACAATTTTAAGCCAAAAAAGCCTTTAAAATGTTGGGGTGGGCAGGAAGGGGGGAGGGGGGGAGAGCTAAATTTTTGGAACATGCCTATGCACAAAGGCAAAGACGCACACCAAAAGCGCACCTCAACATTCATAATGCCAACTATTATGATCACTTGAACCCATAGAGGTGCTGCAGTAAACAGACCAATATTATAAGAATGCCAACATCAATTTTAATGACTTACAGTATGGAAAGGAACATTGTCCTTGCCCATAAACTGGTAGAGTTCCACGTTTTCAGGATTCTTCCACCACTTCTCCCAGTCTGTTGTGTGGCATGCAGTTATTGAGACATATCCAATGGGGGCATCAAACCATACATAGAAAACCTAACCATCACATTACCATCAAGAATAATCATTAGAGGACCAAAGCAAGGTTGAAAAGATCACACACTATATGTAGTTGTCTCCAAACAGGAATTCTTAGCCTCATAAATTCAAACCATATTTATCAACTAAATTCACCTTGTCCTTGAATTTCTCATGTGGCACAGGAACTCCCCATTTCAAGTCTCTCGTGATACATCGTGGTTTCAGCCCTTCTCTAAGCCAAGCATGTGTTGATTGGATGGCATTCTGACTCCAACCCCCAGCCACTGACATGGTCTGTATATACTCTTCTAACTTATCCTTCAGTAGAGGAAGCTCAAGAAACAAGTGATTTGTATCACAAATACGTGGAGCACTGCGACAAACCTGTACATCAAGCATACCAATATTTCAAATTCAACTTCTTACAACACATCAGAAAGCAGTTGAAAGTGCTTTCCTCAAACCATTTAAGACTGGAGTACATGTGACTTCAGCATTCATATTATTTGATGGGAAGTGATCAACCCAAAATTCATCGCTAAATTCACTAACTAAAGAGAATTCACAGGAGCAAACCTTGCATTTTGGTTCTATAAGTTCCGTGGGATTCAAAAGCTTCCCACACTTTTCACACTGATCTCCACGAGCAGAATCATGCTTACAACCTGGTGTTGGACAATTACCCTCCACAAGCCGATCAGCCAAGAATCTCTTACAAGAATCACAGTATAACTGCATGTAATTTATTTACAGCGTAAATACTCATTATACACAAATTTTATATTATTTTCAGATTGTTGGATGGAATGTGCAGTTCAATAAAGGTTCCAAGAGGATCAAGACAGCAGGGAAATGATGAACCTTGAAACAAGAAAGAATTTGAGCATCGATAGTGCACCTGCTGCATAGTGTTTTCTGAAAGCCAATTATTCTCCAACAGTTTCTTAAAAATTGCTTGACAAACTTCAGTCTGTTGTGGACTTGAAGTTCGCCCAAACTCATCAAACCTTATACCAAACCACTCGTATACCTCTTTGTGAATAACATGATACCTACAAAACAAATAAAATCAGACCACACGAAATTCTCAAAGTTCTGGATACATTTCACACATCAATCAATTCTCAAACAATGTCACTGAATTTACAGAATATACAATCAACTTTTTACTAGACGCCATTGCTTACAACTTTTTTTTTTTTTTATGACGTGGGACTTACAGCCGCTATCCAAAAGTAGACACTGGGTAAACCCTCGGCCGAACCTAATTTACCCTGCAAACTAGATTCGACAAGGCAAGCACAACTAGACGAACCACGTATGGCAAGTGACTTACCCATGACCTCACAGTCACGAGTCCACCCCATACCACCAGATCATCCCTTACGGGACCCATTGCTTACAACTTTTAAACCTATGACAAGTGACAACTTGTTGATTTGTGCCTGTGACCACAACTTACTTGCTAGATAGATCCCCATTAGTGCCTAGCCAGTTTTCAAAAAAACTTCAATAAACTTCCCTTGTAAGTTTTACCTATACCCTTTAGTTGACTGTTTTCTAGTGCTTCTCAGTTTTCTAATTTTCTTACCGTGCAATATGAAATACACTAAAAATGAAACTCAATTGCGTGTACAGTCAGAGGTATCCGATGTCATTTCTCAAGTGTACAGTCAGAGGTATCCGATGTCATTTCTCAAGAACTAATTCTTCAGAAAAGTTCATCCTTACCCTTTTGTGCCCAAGGAATAAGGTACTCTTGCATATTATCCTTTATCTATAACTATATTCCTCATTCCACATCTATAACCACCCCCCCCCCCCCCAAAAAAAAAAAGCATCATAATAGAAATAAAACGGGAAGCAGGGGAGCCAGGAATTCTTGTTAGAATAAAACTCAAATAAACAAGTGATCAGTAAAGTTTATAGATAAAATTAAAGTTAAAAAGTAAGTACTTGTCACAAATTTCCTTGGTAGAACAGCCCTCCTCCATTGCCTTGGTCTCTGTTGCAGTTCCGTACTCATCCGTACCGCAAATATATATAGCGTTGTACCCTCTGTTCCGGCAGTACCTCGCGAAAACATCAGCGCTCAGCACGCCTAAAACGAAAACAACAAAGGAAGCATTTTAATCCTCCAAAATTCAACACAAGCACAACCAATCAACTCAGCTCCATTTTAGACATGCAATGCAAACAAGAACTCGATCCTTATAATTCAATACACTGCACCACAATATCACAAACTCATAATCAAAAGAAAGGAGTTGATAAATTACATCCAATAATGTTCCCGAGATGAGGGACGTTGTTAACATATGGCAAAGCGCTGGTGATGAGGATGTTCCGCTTCCCAGGAATCGGAAGTTTGGCTGCTGCGCCACCGTTGTCGCCCATCTCCAGGCCTAAAAAATTGCTTCGATGACTGGCTTTTCTGGTGGAGTCTTACGAAAGAAAATAAGGTAAATATAAGTGTGCTTAAAATGGAAGAGCAAGTGGAATCAGCCGTCTTCGCCTACAAGGTTTGGACTTTTTTGCAACTTGTAAGCGAATCCGTACTGTTGTTACTAGCATTTTTCATAAGACTATAGGTATCTCTAGTATTTTTTTTTATCCACATCATTTGTTTTTTTTTTTTTTTTTTTTTGCACGTGGTACTCTCTTCTATTTTATATTCACAACAAAGATACTCATAAATTTTTATTTTCATCTTATAAAATTATATATATTTTTTTTAATTATAATTTTAATTTGTAGTATTAATTATTTATTTAATTATTATACTATATTATATTATATTATTATTTGTCAATATTTTGATTTATTAAAAAATTATGGGAAAAATTTATATTATTTATTATTTAATTAAATTTAGTTTTAATTTATTTTTAAATTTTAATTTAAATATCAAATTTGTATTTTTATTGTTATAATTATTATTGGTTAATTAAAAAAATAAAATATAAAAATAATAATTAAATTTTTGAAGAAAAAATTACATTATATTACATTACATTGCAATTACAATAGAAATATTTAAAATTAAAATAAGAACAAATAACTTAATTATTCATTGAACCAAATTTTTGCCATATATTTTCAATCAAATCTGTTTTGAGTTGTTGATGTGCTCCTCCGTCTCGAAGTTGCATTCTATTTCTTAGAAACTCAATCATTCCAGCATGCCTATATGCAGAATATGTCTGACTTGAACCGCTTAAATTTTCGGTCTCCATTTGTTCGAATTGGGATATATCATAATAATGTAGATATGTATCTCTTTCATCTTCAACTATCATATTATGCAAAATGATACATGTCTTTATTATCTTACCAATCAAATCAATTCCCAAATGAGTGACGGACGTCGAATAATAGCGAATCGAGCTTGCAAAACACCGAAAGCACGTTCTACATCCTTTCGAGCAGCTTCTTGACGTTGTGCAAATAATTGCATCTTAGGTCCTTGAGGCAGACGAATAGATTGGATAAATGTCGCCCATGGAGGATATATTTCATCCGTAAGATAATACCCCATATTATATTGGTGATTATTGACAATGAAACTTACTTCTAGACTTCTACCATTCAACAAGTCATTAAAAATTGGAGATTGATCAAGTACATTAATATCATTGCATGTACCTGGTGCTCCGAAAAAGGAATGTCGAATCCATAGATCAGACGATGCCACGGCTTCTAATACGATAGTTGGTTTGCCATGATTTCCACGTGAAAATTGGTCTTTCCAAGCAGCTAGACAATTTTTCCATTCTCATTGCATACAATCAATACTTCCCATCATTCCTGGAAAACTACGTTCTTTTGCAACATACAACAATCGTTGTAGGTCTGTTGCATTTGGCCTTCTTAAATGTTCCTCATCAAATATTGAAATGACTCATTCAACAAAATTTTTTACACACGCTCATGTTGTACTCTCTCCAATACAGATATAGTCATCTACAACATCAGCAACTACACCAAAAGCCAACACACGCAAAGCAGCCGTGCATTTTTGTAATGGCGATAAACCAAGCCTTCCCTCTGCATCTCGATGTTGTTGGAAGAACTCATTTTCTATTGTTAGACGATCTACAATGTGCATAAAGACATGCCTCCTTATTCGAAATCTACGACAAAATTGAAAATATGTATAAACAGGATTTTCAGAAAAATAATCGTTGAACAAACGATTGTGACCTTCACGATTTCTCTCAATGTATATTCTTCGGCGTGATTGATTTTCCTCTTCGTGGTTAGTGATAACATCTTGAATACGTTGAAATTGCATTCACAAATTGAAAGAAATCACATCATCATCATCGGAGTCTGAACTTGAAATTGTTTGAGATGAATTTGACATTTTTTTTGTAACAAAGTTGTTTGTTACATATATTTTTTGAAGTGAAGTGTAGTGTAGAGTTTTTGCCAACATAGAGTATTTATAGTTTACATTATATGAAATAAATAATACTAATCATAATAATAATAATATTTAAAAGTATGTAAAGAAATAGTACAATAATAAATATGATGACATATAACAATAGTGATGTGATATAACAATACTAGTGTGTTTAAAGTTACACAGTACAAAGTGTAGAGTTTTTGCCAACATAGAGTATTTATAGTTTACATTAAATGAAATAAATAATACTAATCATAATAATAATAATATTTAAAAGTATGTAAATAAATAGTACAATAATAAATATGATGACATATAATAATAGTGATGTGATATAACAATACTAGTGTCTTTAAAGTTACACAGTACAAATAATTATGTGAAATGATAATAATAATAATAATAATAATAATAATAATAATAATAATAATAATAATAATAATAATAATAATAATATATTTGAAAAATATGTAAATAAATAGGACAATAATAAAATAATTGAAAATAAATTTGATGACACATAATAATAGTGAAGTGATATAACAATGCAAGTGTGTTTAAATCTACATAGTACAATAATAACTATGATGTGATCTAACAATTCATGTGTGTTCAAACCAATCTAGTGCAATAATTAAATAATTGAAAATAAATTTGATGACACATAATACTAGTGATGTGATCTAACAATGCAAGTGTGTTTAAATCTACATAGTACAATAATAACTATGATGTGATCTAACAATTCATGTGTGTTCAAACCTATCTAGTACAATAATAAATTATGATGCGATATAACAATACAATTAATAAAGAAAACTCAACAAAACAAATCTTGAAATGATTGATCACTATTACAATGATAAAAATAAATATGGTGATGTGATATAACAATGCATTTTAAAAAATTAAACAAGCCAAAAATAAATTGATTTGATTTAACAAGACATAATATATATATATATAAATAATATATAAGTTATAGAGTGTCTAAGTTTTTCTATAAATATGCTTGCATTTTACAAAATAAAACACACAAACTTTCATCAAAGATCTTTATATTTTCTCCCACTACTCTACATTCAAGTTTTAACAATGGAGCAAAACTCAAAAAAATCTTCCAATTCTCAAAAGCTTTTTTCATTTCAAAGTTTAACGAACATGCTTGGAAATGAAGATTGTTCGCAAAACTCTTTCAATCCTAATGTTACTCAAAATTTTCAAACATTTGTCCCAAATTTCTATGCTTCATCGTATTCTTCTATTCCTCCACACTACTATTATCCTCAAAATTTTCAATCTTTCGTAGGTTCATCACATCCTCAAAATTTTTAACCTTTTGTAGGTTTATCACATCCTCAAAATTTTCAATCATCTGTAGGTTTTTTTAATCTTCAAAATTTTCAACCATTTCAAGGTTCATTTCATCCCTCATCGATGGGTTTTACGCAAAATATACAAATGAAAAATATTCCTAAATTTTGCACACAAGTCAATCAACAAGATGAAGATGACGTACAAATCATTGCTCCAACGTCAGACACCAAAAGAAAGTGGACTCGTGAAGAAGATTTGCTTCTTATTAGTGGATGGCTTAACACAAGTAAAGATGCACTAATAGGCACTGATAAAAAAGGTACTACTTTTTGGGAAAAAATTTCTCAATATTTTAATGATAACAAATCTGAAGCAGGGTGTCAAGAAGTGTAAACCAATGAAAGAATCGTTGGCAAAAAATAAATAAAGCCGTTTCAAAATTTGTTTGGTGCTTTCAACAAGCTAACCAACAAAATATAAGCAGAAAATCTTTTGATGATGTCTTGAAGAAAGCACATCAAATATATTCTACAGATTGTAAGAAAACATTTATTTATGAACACGCTTGGCGTGAATTAAAACTTGAGCCAAAATGGAGTACCGGTGATCGTGGTACAAATGTTGTCAATGAACCATCTTATGACAGTGGAGTTGGCCCGAAGAGAACTAAAATTAGTGAAGATGGTGGATACTTGTCTAATTCAAATCCAACAACAACACATAGTGATGGAGTAGAAGAATCTCCCTCAATTTGTCCTCCGGGTGTGAAAACGTGTAAAAATAAAGGCAAACGGGCACTGAAGAAATCTTCAAATTCACTTTCCTCCAATGATTTTGAAGAACTGCGAGCTCAAAGTAAAGAATTTGCATCACAATTTGCTCGCATGACACAACTTAAGGAAGAAAAAATCAAAAGCAATGAGCGTATTGCCAAAATGAAACTTTATCGAACACTAGTGGAGAAAGATAATTTGACAGAGCAAGATTTACTTGTTAAGGCTAAATTGTTCGAAGAGTTGTTTTAAATATTTTTTAAATTATATGTATTTTGTTCTATATTTTTCAAATTATCTTGTCTTTTATTTTATATTAATATCTTATTATTAATTATGTATGTATAATTAATTATAAACTAAATATATTTATTGTTTAATATAATTTTATATTATTTAATTGCTTTAAAATTTATAATTATATTTTATTTAATAAATAAAATTAAATTACTAATATTGATTTGTTCAATAGAATTATATAATATTTGTATTTATATATTTTAAATTTCAAATTGATAAAATATATTCAATATTTGCATCATTTTGTAGAATATAAAATATTTTGAATTATAAAAATACTATAAAATTTAAATATAACAATAAATTCAATATAAATTAAAAAACAAAACATATATAATATATCTACATTCCTAAGTGTCATATGTTCCAATTAAATTGGGACACATGACAATAGAATCACATCTTCCCAATATCCCTGGAAGCACGGTGCTTTTAAATTATTTTTTTTTAAAAAAAATGATGATGTGGCGCTGGAGGAGATGTGCCGTTGTGGATGCTCTGATTAGAACTCATTGAATTCACGCATTTGTTTTAGCCCATCCCCAACTCATAGTTCTATTTATCAGTTTTAACTCCAAATATAAAGAGTAATTTTACTTCAATTATAATTCTATTTTTCATTATTATTATTTAAATATTCAATTTTTTTTATTATTTTAAACAACTATTT